TTGAACACGTTTCTTGAAGATTTTGATTGATTCTTTTATTAATATTAAAAATTCCTGGCCACTATTTTTAATAATTGTGTCTCCCTCATTCTTTTTGTTATCTACTTCTAGAATTCTGATTAAACATATGTTACATTTCTCATTCTCACTTGATTTTTTTAAATCTCCATTTCAGAGTTGCATTTCTTTGTATCTCTGTGTGATATTCTATTTTTTTTTTTTTTTTTGGACTGTGTGTTCAAGTTCACACACTATTTTTTTGCATAGTATGCTATTTAGCATATTTACTAAGTTTTAAATTATATTGTCATACTTTTCATTTCTAAAATTTCTATTTGATGTCTTTTCAGATTTCTCTGGTCACTCTTCACAGTCTCTTGCTGCTTATTGTATTTGGTTTTATTGCTGACCTAACAAATTACCACAAATTTAGTGGCTGAAAACAATATTCATTATTATCTTAAAGTTTTTGTAGATTCGAAGTTCAAAACAAGTCTCAAAGGACTAAAATCATGGTGTCTGCAGGTCTGCACTCCTTGCTGGAGGATATTGGGGAGAATCTGCCCCTAGGCTCATGCAGGTTGTTGGCAGAATTCAGTTCCATGCAACCATAGAATTGAGGCCCCTGCAATGAACATTGGGAAACAAGTATACCTTCGACTTGATGAAATAGGGCTGGGCACAGACTTCATGAATATGACCCCAAAAGCACGGGCAACCAAAGGAAAAATAAACAAATGGGACTATATCAAACTAAGAAGTTGCTGCACAGCAAAACAAACAATTAACAGAGCTAAAAGACAGCCAACAGAGTGGGAGAAAATATTTGCAAAATACACAAACTCAAAATGGATCAAGGATTTAAATATACACCCCGAAACAATAAAACTTATTAAAGAAAATATAGGAGAAACCCTTCAGCAAATAGGGCTGGGCACAGACTTCATGAATATGACCCCAAAAGCACGGGCAACCAAAGGAAAAATAAACAAATGGGACTATATCAAACTAAGAAGTTGCTGCACAGCAAAACAAACAATTAACAGAGCTAAAAGACAGCCAACAGAGTGGGAGAAAATATTTGCAAAATACACAAACTCAAAATGGATCAAGGATTTAAATATACACCCCGAAACAATAAAACTTATTAAAGAAAATATAGGAGAAACCCTTCAGCAAATAGGGCTGGGCACAGACTTCATGAATATGACCCCAAAAGCACGGGCAACCAAAGGAAAAATAAACAAATGGGACTATATCAAACTAAGAAGTTGCTGCACAGCAAAACAAACAATTAACAGAGCTAAAAGACAGCCAACAGAGTGGGAGAAAATATTTGCAAAATACACATTTTGCTGTGCAGAAACTTTTTAGTTTGATATAGTCCCATTTGTTTACTGTTCTTAAAGGAAAAGCTTTTAGTTTTTCCCCATTCAGGATGATATTGGCCGTGGGTTTATTGTATATGGCTTTAATTATGTTGAGATATTTTCCGGTGTGGGGTGGGGAAGAAGATATAACAACTATACTTTTTTTAGTTGTTACAACAAACAAACGGAAAGGACATTCTTGGGGGGGAGGGGAGAGAGGGAGGAGGGCGGGAAGTGTCGGTGGTGGGCCATAATAATCATATACATTGTATATTGACAAAATAAAAAATTTAAAAAAAAAAGAAAAAAAAAAAAAAAAAAAAAAAAAAAAAAAAAAAGAATTGAGGCCCCTGCTCCCTTGCTGGTTTTCAGCTCATTCTCACCTTTTAGAGGTTGCCTGCACTCTCTGGTTCATGACCCCTTTCATCGTCAAAGCGAGTAGTGGTGGGTCAAGCCCTCATGCTTCAAATTCCCTGATTTCCCATTCCATTTCATCTTTCCCACCCATTCTTCTGCCTTTTTCTGCTTTAAGGGCTCATAGGACTACATCGGGCACACCTGGATAATCTCTGTATTTTAAGGTCAGCTGATTAGTAACCTTAATTAAATCTGCAAAGTTCATTCCCAGCAGTACCTACATTAGCATTTGAATGAATAACCAGGAGATGAAAATCTTTAGTGAACATTTTTACAACTCCACTTACCACACTGTTTCCAACTCTCTTTTATATTTTCAAACATTGTACATCATCATTTTATACTCCGTATTTGATAGTTATATCTGTTTTCCTTGTACTTTGGATTTTATTTCTTTTGTTTGTGTTGATTCTTATACATTATGCTTCTTGCTGTGGTGGACTTTATAAACAGTGATTAAATTGCACATGAAATTTAACCTTAACGATTTTTTGAATGCCTGGCTGAAGAAGCTTTACTTCTTTTGCCACGTGGTTGGGAATACCACTGACTCAGGATTACCTTAAAGTTTCAGGTTAAGTTTTCCCCAAACACAGTGGTATTTAGATCTACATGGTTACAAATTTTCAAGGGGATTTTATTCCCTCCACCTAGTGCATAGAACAGAACATGAAAGTTAACATAGATGTTTCCCTCTGGGGGGAGAGTTTTTTCCTTGTTTACACTTTCAGTGAGTATATATATATATAGTCCTTTGGAATCCTAACTCTAGGTTTCCATTCAACCCCTAACTTGGTTGGCTTCTAGATTTGTCTTCTATCCCTTTTTCTCTATGTACTTATTAAGAGGCAATTTCACGATCTCTAGAAATTAGCAGTTACCACCTTCAATTCTGCTTTAATTTCTGGATTCTTGATGTGCTGCATCTTTCTCTTTTGGGACTCCTATTATCTTCTGGCAGACACAGTGATGTATGTTTATATATATATATATATATATAGTTATATATATATATATAGTTATATATATATATATATATATAGTTATATAGTTATATAGTTTTATATATATATATATATAGTTATATATAGTTATATATATATAGTTATTTTTTTATTATTTGGCCTCAAGAAGATTTGTCCCCCTGGTATCAATATTGCTATACTATACTAAGGAAAGCCCCTTTACTTCTTTTTTCTTAAATCCTGTGTCTTTTTCTTTCTAGACAAATGAAGATTTCCATATTTGGAAAGACCTTTTAATTTCTGCCTCAGTTATATGCTATTCTTATTGTTTACTTCTGGACTAACCCGTTCTTAACTATATGATGGAGACCTGTGGTTTTTATATTTAGATTCCCAAAACTTACTTGATCAATTTTTACTGAGCTAAAGTGCTTTTGGGGGGAATAAAAGGACTAACACTGCCCTGGAGTAACATTTTTAACTATTTTCCTTTTTAGATTGTGTTAGAGTATTAACACTGTCCCTGTTTGGTTTTCCTTTTGCATTCCTAGTACAATCTTTCTCCTACTAAAAATTTTAAAAAAACAAAAACATACATTTAATTTGTTAAAATCCGTATACTTAAGCAAAGATAATAGTCATTCATTTACTAAACCAATAAAATTTTGGAACAAAAATGTCATTGTAAATATTCTTATCAAATATTTAGCCATGGCAAAGATATAGTAATAATCTGATGGTAATCTTTTATATATAATAAAATGTGGTGCCCATGACAAGACATAATCAATGTACCATGATATAGTTTCATCAATTTTTGTTAACAATGTTAATTAGTTGTATTGGCTAAAACTACTTCCCCATCTCCCATGCTGAAAAGGAGAGAACAAAGTCTTGGACAGCAAGTAAGGTGAAAACACTACACATATGAGAGAAAGGAAGTCTGAATTCTAGAGATGCTGACATGCTCAGCAGCAGTTGTGATGAGTGAAGCATTCATATAGCAATGGAGCCTTCCAAGTGCTTGCATGAACAGACAGTAAATAGCACTTAGTGAAACTGATACTGTTATCTAGACAAGATACAATACTAAGTAAGATACTGGAATTAAAGGGACAAAGATTTCTAGTTAACTTTTAATAGTGATCAAGATAATAACAAAATGACTATCTTTCATAGAGTGGGAGGACAAAGATTTGTTTGATAACCTCTTTAAGGTTGCCTTTTGGAAACTTTCAAAGACAGTGTGCGACCCACAACTAAAAGAGTTTGAGAACTTTGATGTAGATAGGACAAATGTGAAATGGATAAGTTAAGTCATTTTTGACATATCAACCAAACATAAAGATGTGGTCAGAGAATGTGACTCACTTAAATTTTCACTACTATTTTTCTTGTACTCACCTGGCAGCTGTAGGAAATAATTCATTAAAATTATTCAAGCTGAAATGTTGATATTATTTTCTTGAGATCTAAACTTATTCACTACAATTTGAAGTCATTTTATCTTTTCATAATATGAATGTATTCATCATATAATTCGGCAGTGGTAAATTGAATGAATAGAAAAATGCAGAAATGTAATAAATACTATGGATCATAAATAAATGTGTAACACATGATAAGGAAAGGAACAAGTGAATAGAATCAACATAAAATATTTACACAAGGCAGCAATATTATATTTTAAGGCTTAAATGAACAAAGTTTTCTTTGAAAAAATGATTAATTTTGCATGGAGCAATTAATAAGCATAGACAAATAATGAACATGGACAATTCATATATTTTTAATAAAATATTATCATGTTTAAAAACCTCTTTACTATATTCAGTTTCAAGAATAATTTTATAAATAATCTTATTTGCATAAAAAACAAACTAGGTCTGTAACATCGAGAAAAGTGCCAATGAAGATTGAAAATAGCAAAGGTATTTTTTTATTAACATTGTCTTCATTTTTTTATAGGATGAGAACTTCTGTGATTTAACATTTCCATCTTTTCCTAACTGCCCACATGTCCACATTATTTTGTTTTTGGTTATTGTTATTTTTTCCTTTAGTCTAATTTTGGAATGCTGTTAGACCTTACTTTTTTTCACATTCTTCTGAGTGCTAGAAGGCTATTCTAGTTTTGTTTGAATGTTCAGTTTTCTTTTCTTTTTGGCTTGCCCACAAATAATTTATATTTTCTTTTGTATGTCAATGGTTTTAATTTTTTATTCTCTATTTTCCCTCTGATATTTCATTTTGATATTGATATAATAGTTATGTGACTTTTTTCTATGTCTATATACACGGTGATAATTTATTTAAATTTCTACATCTCTTTTTTTTACATATGACATTATGTATTTCTGAAATAAGGTAAACACTTAAGTGAAGTTGTTATGCATATACTTAACTGCATTAATATTTTTATAGCTTTCCTTTCTATCTATACTGTACTAATAGTGCAAATCACTATTTGTAAGCCTTATCCATATCTCTACAAAATGCATTTCTCAGTGCACTGAGATCATAAAGGTATGAATTATATTAAACTAACTATAGGGTCATGTAGAAATTAATCTTTATTCATGACTTTTTTGTTATTTAGTACATTCAGCTACAATTTTGGAATTACCAATTAAATTTCAATTTTCATACTATATGTATATATTAAGATAACCCCACTGGATTTTTTAAATGAGGAAATGCACATATCACTTAGATTAAACTTTTTCTGCACTGCCAGATGACCATGGCTTTGGTTTTTCAGCAAATTCTCTTGAATGACACTACAGAAACATTTATTCAAGTAACTAACTAACTTGTATATTTTATTTTCTATTTTTAGCTTCATGGGAAGTTTCTGAAATAATAAATTGATGTTTGAAATTTTACACTGAATTCCAACAGTGAGATGAAGCAAAAAGCCTAATCTCTTTGAAGGTCAAGTTATAAATTATTCTTATGATGAAGCAAGATGCGATGGTCCTTGAGCAAAATCTCAACCATGGGCTTCTTGATTAAGGCACATAGATGCTCCTTGGTGACATCTCAAAAGAAATATGGACTCTGAGTTATGACAGCAGGTTTTGGGTGTTTGCTGGAACTGCAGCAGCTACACCATGACCGATTTAAGTCATGAGCCATATTTTATAGTGAATTCTTAATGGTTCCCAAAAGTTATCACAGAAGAGTGAGAATTTTTGTGTTTGTCATGGCATGGTCTCATTGCTAATTGCAGGAGCCCAAGAAGGGTAGGTATGGAGGTCAAACATGGGTACCATCCAGGTGGACACGCCAAGCATCACCACAGCAACACCCACAATATTAATACCAAGTCCAGCTTTAACCTTGAACAGAAAAGAACATAATTGTCAATCTCCCGAAAAAAAGACCTATAGGAGAATTAGAATACTATTAAAAATATTGAAGAAAGCATATACCAGATTTACACATCCTAAATAGCTAATATAAATTTTGTCATTTCATAAAAGAATAGGTTTTTCTTCATTCATATCAAGAGTCTGTCCCCAACTAAACACCATTTAGTTTAAGAGTCCTAGAGAAGTTCCTCTTAGAAACATACGTAAGTTGTTCTGATTAGAGAAAAAGCCCCTTAAAAATCTGCCGTTTCGTGTTAAATCAGAATTTGAGTTTTGTGGTTTCATATTTCTCTAAATAAGGTTCAGAACACCAAATGGAAACTGTATCCTTTATTTTCACTGATTATTATTAGTGTGCCCTTCAATATTCTCTGAGATTTTATAAAGCCACCACTATTCATCTTTCTTAGAGTTCCCATTTTTCTAGTTCGTACGTCATTACTCTGGTGTCCATTAAACAATCTCAGAGTTGCTTTCTATCTATTAAAATCCAGTTTGGCAAACTAGTGCCTTCGATTTGTTTTTGTAAATAAAGTTTCATTGGACCACAACCACACCCATTTGATTACTATTGTCTTACCTGCTTTCGTGATACAATGGCAGAATTGAATTGTTGTGACAGAGACTGTATGGCTCAAGTGCCTCAAACTGACTCTTTCTAGAGAAAGTCTGCCTACCTCTGGATTCTCTGCATTAAAACATGGAGACCCAAAGCAAAAGGATAATAGCTAGCAATGGTTATTATGGAGGCTCTTTTCTCTGTTCACGAAAGTCACTCATTTATTCCAGAGTCCTTATTTTCTTCTTTATAATACACAGACAGAGGGCATTGAATATATTGTATTTTGCATAGAGGTAGTTACAGAATTTTTATGTTTCAGGTGTTCAAGGACAGCAATCTGAGTGGAAGGAAGGGAGCTGGGACATACCTCAAGACTATATTTGCATAGCAAGCTCACTAAATTTACTTTAGCTATATTCTTGTTTGTGTTGTATTGGAAATTGTTGATGACTATTGGAGGGGGATTAGAATACTCTCAATCCAGTTCTTAACTACCACTACCTTTGTATTTGGCAAAAATGTGCACGTTTTATCACTTAAATTCTCTATAACTTGCTTGTGCTTTCATGCAAGGTTCCAGTATTAGAATCTGAACAAGAAAGATACTTTTCATCTGTCAGGTCCTGAGCCCAATGTCTTATTCATAGCAAATCTTGGTTGCATAAATATTTCTAGCAGCAAACCACAGTGCTGTTTTGATTGCTAAATTTCATTAATACTATTTCTTCTTTTTGCCTAAGTCAGATTAGATCCAGATCTTGACATGTAAATTCAAGCTGATGTACTGAGCATATTCTATACTCTTCCTTCTTTCAGAGCCTTCCTGATACATTCCATATCTCTGTATTGGTGACTATAAATTCTAATGGCATGTTCACTTCTGGTTATCACTCTTAACAAACAATTCTATGATCAACCATGCACACACCTTCAGAAACAGAAATCCAGCCACGCTTTTCCAGGTGGTTGATTAGTGTGTAAAAGGAGAGATAACTCAAGAATACCACACAAAAATATGTGTATTGGATTTAGTAGTATTCTTTTTTTTTTTTTTTTTTTTAAGATGACCAGTAAAAGGATCTTAACCCTTGGCTTGTGTTGTCAGCACCACACTCTCCCGAGTGAGCCACGGGCTGGCCCTCTAGTAGTATTCTTTTAGATAACTCACCATGTCAATGACTTTCAGATGGCCATATGAAAAAACTATAGCATTGGGTGGGTTTGCTACTGGTAGGAGGAATGCAAACGAAGTACACAGAGTAGAAGGTATCAAAATATAAAGAGGGTTCACTTGAATGGCTTCAGCCTGTCCCAAAAGATAAAAAGGATCCTAAGTAAAAATTTGAAGGTAGGTACCAAATATCAACATGAACAAATTTATTATAGTAAACTTTCCCAGAAGCAAGTTAAAACCTAATGACAAAATTATACACATAAGTGCAGTTATAACTTGAAGAATATTTTCCAGAAAATGTCTCCTTCTTCTTGTTTATATGGTTATGGGTGCCCATTTAATAAGTATAGTATAGTTCACTTAAGAAAAAAAATTATCATTTATTCCACAAACTGTATAAAAACAGCAACCATTTATCTAGTGCTAGGTACTGGGCTGTGTTTATTTATATATACATGAGGATACTTCAAAATGTTCTTGGAAAGATTCACATTATCTTTTAATTGTTTTCCACGAACTTTTTGAAGCACACTTATATAGTCATATATTCATATATTTATACATAACGTATTTTACATATGAAATAGAGTATAATATAATAAATGTCATATATTTATATATATGCTTTAAGTTTTCACAATGACTTTATGAGATACCTATTATAACCCCAAATAACAAATAAAACCAAGGTCCAGAGAGGCTACTGTAATTTGTCTGGGGACATTGCTGGTAAGCAGTAGAGAGCAGTAGACTTTAAGTGAGGTATCAGGTCCCTCTGGCCCCAAAGCTCCACATTATATCACAGACATTACTGCCTCTTTGACACATGTAATTTAAAATTTACAAAGGGATTATCACCAAAGCAAAGTTACTATTATTATTAATTCATCACATAGTTTTCTAACTGTTCCATATTGAGAAATAAAAACTGGCGAAAAACCCAAATGATATTTTCCCAATATAAATAGCCTGCATTTCTTTTTCTAATGGGAAGCAGCAGCTCAAGAATGCCAACACATGCCCCTTGAGCTGGCAGCAGAACAATTCCAGACAGACAATCCTTCTTAATTTAAAGTGCTTTACTGTCACCAAACTCATTCATCCCAATAAGGAAAACATTTTACATAAATTTGTTTCCTGTAATTATTAGCTAGGTGTGAAAATGGAAAGACAGTTTTTCCTTCTCTTTCCTAGCAAGCTCACTTCATCCTTTCTTCATTGTTCCCTGGGTGGTAGAGAACTGTGTCTAAGACATTTAGACCTGAAGCGTGAAGCGTAAGTCTAGCTTTTCATTATTTGCAGATCACTTATGTAAAGCACTTCTCAGAAATTTAGAAGCAATGTTCTGAAGAGAGTGGTGTCAGTGTTAGAAATCTCAATTGCCAGGAAACACTAAATCTCACGTCTTATAGCTGGGATGGATCTAGTCTGATCCTCTCATTTATTTATGAATGAAAAAACTGGACAGAGAGATGATAAATGTTTCGTTTAAGATCATGCTGCTTGGACATAGAAAAAAATAGTTCTTTTTTCCTGTAAAAAGCATTAATGCCTAAAAAGACCACTCTATAAGTTACTTATAACAGGCCCATTTAGGCCGAAAAAGAATTCACACTACAATATGAGAAACAACATTTCAAAGCAGAACACTACTTTTTTTTTTTTTTTTAAAGATGACTGGTAAGGGGATCTTAACCCTTGACTTGGTGTTGTCAGCAGCACGCTCTCCCAAGTGAGCGAACCGGCCATCCCTATATGGGATCCGAACCAGTGGCCTTGGTGTTATCAGCACCACACTCTCCCGAGTGAGCCACGGGCTGGCCCAGAACACTACTTTTTTGATGAAAAGTATAAATAGGATAAGTGAGATACTCACCAGTGGAGACAATATTGGGAGAAGGAGAGTAATGGTAGCTGGGTTGCTGGCTACCTCTGTTAAAGACGTGACCATCAAAGAAGATATGAGGATTATTAGCCATGCTGGTAACGAACCTAGAGGAGATAATTTATTTGCTATCCAATTGGATAGTCCTGACTCCTAAAAAACAAATTTTCAATATTCGTTATTCATTAATAATTCATTTTAATCAGACAATTTAAATACATAAAAAAGCATTATTTTCTTTGAGAACAGTTTTTAAAATATGATTTCAATCTTTCATTTTTCCATGGTTTGTTATATCTGGGTGGCTGTGATGGGAATGAGCTATCACTTAGTCTTATTTTAATACTATCAGCATGCTTTAGGAAGTTCGGATTGTTTTCCCACTTTTTTTCAATTAAATTTTAATTTAATTTAATTAATATATGTGGATATTTTAATAACTCATGTAGTACTATGGGGCTTTAAGAAAAGAGCAGCCCTTCTGGTTCACCTCTTTCTACTCCTAAGTTATGTTCCCCCGAGGCAACAACTTTCGACCCTTATTAGCCATTTATAGGTATACTTATGTATTTATATAGTCATCTTTCAAAATAATACTCTAATTATGCTTTTTCCTAATTTTCAAATTTAGAAATTATTCACTGACTTTCTAATATGTTACATGAGGATTTAGTTTCTTATGTCATCGACCATACACATATTTCCTGTCTCTTCCTTTCCCCATACTCACATATCAACAGTTTTGGTTAAATCAATATTTAACATTCATCACTATAATAATATAAATACTGTTCAAAACTGAGCCACTTGGCAGACTATGATTATATTTACTTATTTTACTTTTTCTTCCTTCAGAAAATAATTGCTTCATTCTTTTTTGGCTTAGTTTTCTAAGTACCTACCACTAATTTATTACACTCTCTAGTAAAACTGGAAAATTCCCACACGAGTAGACAAACATATCAGATAATTGCCTTTTTTTCATATTTCCTCATGGAGATGTTTATTCTGGAATATTTCCTCCTCCTGTTCCATCTGGAATAGTTGCTAGTCCAGATAAATGTTTTGTCTCTGTTTTCCTGAAAAACCTTTTTACTTTCTTTTCACACTGTTTTGATAGTTTAGCATTTGTTGAATTCCAGCATTGGTATAATTGTCACTCAGCAGCTTTAAGGCATCGCTCCATTTCCTGAGGCTTCTGGTTGGGTCCTTTAGAAGCTGGGTCACATTCTGGTCTTTGATTCATTGTACATAGTGCACAAAAATCAGCTGCACTCAAATTAGCAGATTTGTTATTCTGGCTTTTTTTTCCCCCTGAGTGGAAGGGAAAACCCTCTTTTTGTTAAAGATTTCAATGAGCTACCACATGTGTGAATTTTTATGATCATGACAAATTCGGATTTGCATCAGAAAACCTCTAATTGCAACCAGTATACCTCAGATCAAAAGTTGGCACACTCATCCATGGATGTGGGTACCAGATATTATGTATGCTATTTGTGGTTTTGACATATTTTTGTTTGTGTTTTGGTTATGACTTTTAAATAGAAAATGACTGTCGACCATTTAAGTCACATTGACACAAATTCATCGTAGAATACATATACTTTAAGGATGGGTTTTATTTATGTCTGATTAGATGCAACTGGAAAAGATTACACCACATATTTTTTCCCCTTCTCTGAAGGCATTGGTATCATATCTTCATCTTCAGGGTTCTAAAATTCTGCATGAAGGGCTTTGGTACTGGGCACTCGGTAGTTTTATCAGTCCAGAATCTCAAAGTCTGCAGTTCTGGGGACATTTCTTATATTTTTTTTATGGAAATATCCGTCCTTTCTATTTTTTTCTTTCTTTCGGAAATACCTATTAGTTGACTGTTAGACACTTTGAATTAATGCTCTCAAATTTTCTTAACTCTCTTTTTAATTATTACCTCCTTTTTACCTTTTTGTTCTGCAAGGCTACTTCAAAAAGTTCAAGGAAAAATGGAATTAAAAGACGATACGAATCTTTCCATAAAATGCTCTGCAGCCCTACAGTGACCAGGACGATGACAAGGAACAAGGGGGCCTCTCCACACTGCTGCTTTATATCAACTCGATATCTAGGTTAAAGGAATAGCCACTGAATTCCTTATGGTATTTTTATTTCTTTCTAAGATTAGACATAATATAATATTGGACATGATTATGTGAAATTCTCTTCAGGCTTCATTCAATAAACATTTATTAAGTACTTTTAACACTAACATTATTTCTCACTCTCCTTCTTTGACAATAGGGCCATAATATATTGAAGTCTGAGAACTACTCAAGTTCATCATGAAATAAGGTAAAGGTATAAGAAACACACAAAAAATATGTTCTACTAGTAATCACTTCACATATTATTTTTATATAAGTTTTTTCTTATTAAGCTAGTCTTCTAATATGACTTAATGAATTAAAAATTTTAATTTTCTTTGAATTATTTCTTTCCACATGCTGAAACACCATTAAAAAATGCTGTTTTATGTTTGTGACCTATTAAAATTCTTGAACTCTGAGCTCACCTCCTCTGTATGGTATACTAACTGCATAGCTATTGAAATCTGTGTCATTAAGATGATAGAATACAGTTGAATATGTCAAAAGCTCGACTATCTCTGTGTTCTTCTTTTGAACAGTCTAGTTAACTGTTAAATACCTTAGACACAGAGTATTACCTCACAGCCATCTGCTAAGGCAAACCCTCCACCAACAAGAATGGCTATATCCCAGGGCATGAATGACTGGAATTCTTTCCAAGTAATCAGTGGAGAGTAATCAAAAGCAACTGCAAAACAAAAGTCCTAGGGTTACACATTGCTTAAAATATGACAACGTCTTTTTTTTCAGCATCCTAAATAGCCACCTCACAGGAAGTTTGTAATATTCCTGTATTGTGTTTAAGGAGCAAATTTGATCTGGACTTTGAATAATTTCCACCTGGCCTAGGTGGAACATTTTATTATAAAAAAGAAAAAATGCTATAACTTGAAAAAATCCTTTGGATAATATAGAATACGTATGTATAAATTATAACATTGTCATTTATAATGCTGTTCATTCATTCATTCATTTACTCATTCATTCTTTCCACTACCATTTTTGCCTACTATGAGTAACACAGTGCATTGGACTATAATACTTTTTGTTATGCAAAATGTCTACAAAATATTCCATTGGTTTCAATAGCATTATTGTAGTATTTTAATTATTATTCATTGATATTTTCAATAGTTTAGCCTTTTATTGATTTTTAAATTATAAGGAAGATCATAAAATATTCATCAGGATTCCAGCTTAAAGATAATTTAAGGTTCAGATTAAATAATTTAAGTATCATTCATGAAACTTTTAAAATTCTCATAAAGCAATTATAAAGATTTCTCTTGATATTTAGGCTCCAACCTCTCCATTGACTTGTTGGTAAATAAGTTCATTCATGAACACATTATGCACATGTACCAATTGTGTGTGAAAGACAACCTTCTACTAAGTTCTACTAGTAACCTTCTGAGGTTATTAATAAGTCTCCTTCCTATCTTCCTCCCCCAAACCCAAACCAAAGCTACCCTCACTGATGCTTGAAATTTTCCTACCAGATTTCTTGGATGAAGGCCATAAATCCTGTTAAAATGCAAACATCTCTGAAATGTACCTCTCATTTAAAATGTAACATGTCTTATCTGTCATTTTAAAACCTAGTATGAATGAGTTTATCAGGGAGAGCATGTAATGAAGAATGAAGAGAGAGAAAAAGGCAGACAGGGCAAGGCTCTTTCTGAGAAAGGGGATTCAGATGTGGGTAGCAGGGAAGCTAAAGCCAAGCATTGGTTCCTCAGTACTTGCCACTGCCAAGCCTTAGAGCTTTGACTGCAATGGTCTGAACCTTTAGGGTTCCATAGGAACCAATGCTCCATAGGGTAACACCTCCTTAACACACATTGAGGTATTCTAATCTCCAGTGAAGAACAAAAGCCATTTATTTCTATGCTATGCTGTCCACATATATCATGTCCTGGAAATCTGATACATAGACATTTATGGGTTCTGACTCAAGAAGTTAGGTGGGCCAACCCAACTGCAAGAGTCCCAGTTCCATCCCAGTAAAAACAAACAAACAAACAAACAAACAAACAAACAAACAAACAAACAACAAAAACCCCCACAACTCTACTGGTCTGTTTCTGGACACTTATAAACCATTTGTCTCACTTAACAGTGTAGGAATCTGACTACACAAAACATGCTGTGTGGCTGGCCAGTTAGCTCAGTCGGTTACAGCGTGGTGCTGATAACACCAAGGTCCAGGGTTAGATCCCTATACTGACCAGCCACCAAAAAAAAAAAAAAAAGAAAAAAAAGAAAAAGAAAAATCTTTAAATCATGCTGTGTTAGTACAAAGCTTAGACATGGATGAATATTTTGTTAAGAAGTGCTTGTGTGTGAGAGGGGAGACAAACATGCATGCTTCTTTGTCCATGTGCTGTAAATACAATGAATGCCCCCACTGAATACCTTTTTTTAATTTCAGTCATGACCCTAAGTTATATCTATGTGGGGCTTTTTTTCCAGGACACTATGAGGCTGTAAATGCGCTGTCTCTTGAAATTCTTCACCTTTTCATATCCTTGGCACTTATTACAAAGGGCTCACCATGAAGCAATGCTTTCCAAGTTCTTGCTCTTATGTTTGCCAATAGTAAGATTAATTCTGATTATGGCAGGGGAAGTAGATTTATAATTGATCAAATAGTATCATTTGTAGCAGAGCCCTAACCATGGTACATAAAGGAATCTACTTCTCACTTCTGCAAAGATTCTCCCTCTTGGGGGTGGAGGATGTGTTGGCTGAATAGGGCAGTTGCAGTGTGCAAATAGGGCATGCTAGGCCAGGGGTGTGTCAGCATGGCCACTCCTTCTGTTCTAAGTGCTAATTGAAACCCATGGAATTTCATTTTTTTTTCTGTCAAGTTTATTCAGAATTATAAATGATACTCAACCTATTTCTCCTGTAGGTGTAGTTTTAGTCAATATCTTAGCCGGAATAAGAAAGAATAGGAGTCCGATAAGTAAGGCAACAGTTGAATCTGTAGCAAAACCAGGGTACCTGAAAAAGGACAAATGTGTGTTTTAAAAATGGCATCAAGAATCTACATGGAGCTAAAACACCAACTGACTATGCTAATAGCATATAAGTATAGAAGTGGTAGTAGTTATTTCTTCTGGATAATCTGCTCTAAAATCTATGGATTTCCAGCTAAAAAATGTAACTTATTAGAATTGATAATCTCAGACCACATTCCTATTGTTTCGGTATATTTTTCCTTATTTTCAATACCACATATGTACATACTGACATAGAAGGTCAATGTGCCAAACTTCACTTTTAGGTAAGCTTACAGATTTGTTAAATAATTTCCTCTTTGAATTATTTCTTTTAATTTTATTGGCAGAGAATTAATGTCGAAAGAATTGCTAGAGTAAGCAAAGCCCTACATAATTGATTTATAACATCTTTTTATTGAATTGTGGCAAGGCATGATGTTTCTAGAGTCCCCTAAAGCTCTTCTGTAAATTTTGAAAAGGAATTGATCTGTTTTCTAAGACATAACACCTGCTTCTGCAGTCATAGGCCCAAGTCACATCATACAAATGAACTCAACCCTTTTAATGCTTTGCACCCTATGAAACTCAATCAAGAATATTAATTATTGCAGTGGTTTATGAGATGCTCATAAATGATCACTGTACAAATTAAGAGTGATTAAGGAACAGATGGGGTCTTAGAATCACCAGGCCATTCAAGCAAATAAGACCAGTTCCCAGAAGCCTCAACAGTTAAGAAGCACCCGGAGACCAGATATAAATGAAACAGGCATAAATAATTAGAATTCAGTTTTAAAAGTCGACAATATTAACTAGTACATTTTTGTAGTCTCAGAAGAAATATGGACACACTAAAGATTATTTTGCCACCTTGTAATTCAGTAATGTGTACATGCTATAGAAGCTTCTCTGCTCCCATAATTTACTTGAGAAATATAAATAATCAAGGAAATGCATTAATTTTCTCAATCTAACAATTTTTTAAAGCAGTCTGCTTTCTTTAAATATAGGCTCATTCTCTCATTGTCCAACAATCTATCTTATTCTGTAAACTTGACCAGTATTTATAATTTTATTGTTTATTTCTTTATTTCAGTTATAATTTTAGGTTGAATTTTTGCCAATTGGGCTAGGCATTATGTAACCAGATTTTGTTTTAAATGAAAAGACACATTGAATTCAGTCCAGGTTCAAGCAGATGGAATGAAAACATTAGGAGGTAGCTATAAATCTTGATATATCATGTTAGCTTTAGAAATTCTAAATGCCCAAAACCTCTACATAACAAATATATTCCATAGAATATATACTTTAAATAAAATAAAGGCATAAACACTGAAATAATTTATTTCCATAAGACTTTATTTTTATTATAACTTATTTTTAGTTTATTATAAATTAAGTTAGGTTTTCTTAGTATTACAAAATATTAAGCTTATACAACATTTATTTGTTTTGGATTTGCTAATCAGATTTATATTTTCAAATTTCATCTTCTCGCAAACCTTTTCTTCCTTTCCTTTTATTTTCTCTTGGAATTCTAGGTGGCATAAGCATCTACCCACCCATAGCAAATTTCTTATTTGTTTTTTATTTGTTTTTCTGCTACAAATAAAAAAACTACTGAATTACATTTTCCTCCCATGAGGAATACAAATTAGAATCTGATTATATTGAATTTCTTATTGGGATTTTTTTTGTTGTTGTTGTTAGCTATTTTTTTGTTGTTGTTAGCTATTGTCTGAATTCATTTAGTTCTTACACACTGGTATTGAGATAAAGATTTTCCTTACCCAGTATGGTAAGAGTTGGATTTTTAAAGGGGGGAAGAATTATTTTTTTATGTTGGTCTAGATCCTATTACAAAACCGCAAAGTACTAATCAACTATTAAACAATAACTTGCTTGCTTTGAAGAATTGGATGATGGCTTTTGTTTACGTCTCTCAAAATGAAAATTCCACTCCTAAGGAAAATGAAAAGTTTTGCTGAAGCAGATCCTTTAAAACATGCTACCGCATCGCATTTCTTGACTGGTGTGGTCATTAGGAATTTGGATTCAGACTTCGCACCTTTTAAAAAATATTGGCAATGCCTGTAAAACCAGAGGCTCTGATTCAGGGAGGAATTTCTTTATTCCATGTGGGAAGAATATATTTCACCTGAACAGTTTTGGTTTCTGCCCCTAAATACACAGATTCTTGCTGGGGGATGTGAGACAGGAAGTCTATGTCAGAAATCTGCTGAATTTAGAAATTAGAGTAATTCAGTGAAAGATAGATTGGTAACACAAATCTCACAACTAAATTATTCATGCTGACATGTAGGATGGTTCTTAATTTAGAAAATTATGCTACAATCTCCCCCCTCACTTCACATGACTCAGCAGTGACACTGAGAGTTAAAATTAACTCTGATCCGGCTTCTAGCATTAGCTTTTAAAATCTTTCTTATTACTTATTCAGGAATTCCTTATTTATGAAATGGAGGCTGGGCTGAATTTGTAGTTAAACTGGTACAAACAGGTACATAAATGGAGGAATAGACAAGATATTCGACCAAATAAATAGTCTTCCATAGAAGTAAAAAAAAAAAAAAAGAAATGGTAAAAGTCATAGAATATGAATTCATATCAGACTGTTAATTATTAAGTGGCATTAATTTCACATAGTAAGTATTTATATAGCACTTCCTATTGGGAGAAGGGCAACATTATTGTCAGTGTTATTATTCTCTTTATTTTACACATGAATCAGCTGAGAGTTAAGTGACTTTCCCAAAGTGGAAGAGCCAGAAATGGAACTCAAGCTACGTGGCTTCCAAGTCTACAGACCTAGCCACCATAGAACATGACCTTTCTGCTGATTATATTTCTAATCTTGTAAGGATGGGGTTAGCCTTGTCTAATGGACCCTGGTTTTTAGTTACAGGGTAGCATGGGTATTCTTTCTGTGGTCTTACCTAAGATTTAGTTTCTTACAATTTTTTTTCCCTGAAAATAATAGAATTAAACATATCTTTACAAGGGAAAGGGAAAAAAAAATCTTATACAATCATTCAGAGTTACAGGAACCACTAAAGAAAGAAGCAGAATATAAAACAGGTAGGGCTGACCAATATAACATGTAATGCTTACTTTGAAAAAAGTGCAGACCAACCAGAAACAAATCCTGGATCACGGCTAAACCATAGCAGGGCCATTATAATAAAGAGGACCAATGTCACAATTTCTTGATACCTGTAGAAAAATTCCAATGCTATTATTTCCTATTTTCCCAGTCATGACATTTGTAGAGACTCTCTGAGCTACTTTCAGGAGTAATCTGAGCAGAACGCTAAACACTGTTAAGAACTGCGTGTCAATCACTTGAGAGCACTGGTGCAGTTAGAAAAGACCCTTACTCATCTGTGGTTGTCTCTTGTCATTCTACCTGGCAAATTTTAGACAATGGTATGTATTTTGTCATACTGAGTTATAGTCACAAAAATTAGTAAATTTGGGACCCTAGTCAAGTGTTATATATACTTTGTAAACAATTATGTGCTTATTTTCTTTTACACAACTCCTTGCAATATAAGCAGCACCTATCTGTGTGTGTGTGTGTGTGTGTGTGTGTATATCTTACCTTATTGGCCCAAGTTTTTCGTATTCTTGCTTGATCACCTCAGCACAAGCTTTTTGTTTGACTGTTTTGGCTTTGCCACATTTGAACATTTCTTTAAAACTGAAAAGAATAATTAAATCTGTTATCAAAGGATTCTTTCACCACCATCCCCCTTTATGGAATATATTTTTGTGAAATCTTCATAAAATATGAATCTTCCTGCAAATCACAAAAATATGTGCTTTTCGTCTATACCTCCATCTCCTTCTTTGAATGTCCTCTCACCTCTATTCTGTTTTTCCCAGTTTGTTCAGTTAGTAATGCTTAATTTTCGTTGCATATTTTCCATGACATCGTCCACCGATCTCTTTCTTTTCCAAGACCTTTGGCACCACTGGAATATTACCACGTGCCACTCATCTCTAATTAACACTTCATTACATACTTGATCATTATATTATATTTAAAAAATATATTTATTATATATCTTGGCTGTTAATTGTTACACATATATAAGATTTATCCCACCAGTTAGATAAATTATTTGAGGGCAAGCATAGGGACAGTGTCATAGATATTCTCATTATTCCAGTTTCTCTGAACACTGACATACACAGTAAATACTCGACTCATCAACTCAATAGCAACTTTGGGAAATTCATGAGGCAGTCGGTGTCAAATCCATCTATGTTCAAAGTATGCTAAACTTGAGTTGTACACTAGGGTGGGGAAATCACATATACAGATACTGATATGGTCAGAGTCCAAACTAGTCTATTCTCACAAGTAAAACCAACTCTGTTACATTTTCTTCTTTAAGTTTCTCCACTGCTACATCCTGATATCACCCACTAGATAATCTTCTAGCTGTTTCCAATAATAATTGCCACTCTTTATTGCTTTTAGCTGCTTGTTTGGTAACCTCTTTTTCCTATCCTGAAGTCCAGGGTCTTCAAAACTTTAAACAGTTGTTGTGAAACACTGCCCTGGATGTCGACTTAAAAAAAAATTCCTCCAGAGGAAGAAACAAGTGGGAAAATGGCTAGACTCTTATGGATTATCCCTTGGAATGTTTATGAGTAGCTCAGTTAGTTTACATTATATGTAGAGATAGAAAGCAGGTACATTTTCTTCTGTAAAATCGTTGGGGTAAATATGAATCCTTATGAGGGGATAAGAAGGAAGACAGAGGTAGTGGGAAGGTAGCTATCACTCACAGACACAATTTATGCTTTGTTTTCTTTTGTGTTTTTCCTGCTATTTTGCTATTCAACCTTGTGTGGACTGATTCCCTTTGAAGGAGCAGAATTTCCTCATCTCTTAAGCCATCCGTCCTGCACATTCATAATCACTCTCATGCATATACCCCAAATACTGGACATAATCGGTTGAATGTTGTTGCATTTATGATCAATGAGAAAATAATTACTTTTTACAATCTCAGTTACTGACTAGTGACAGTGTTGAAGTTGATATGACAAGCAAACAGAAAAGACATTGTTGGCTGGGAGGGGGGAGAGGGCGGAGGGAGGGAGGTTTTGGTGATGGGCCACAATAATCAACCACATTATATATCGACAAAATAAAATTACAATAAATAAATAAAGAAAAGAAAATATCACTTTTCACAACATAATAGTACTATTATAAGAAACTAATCCATGGGCCACCTTGAGAACCATCTATAGAAGAGAAAAGTATAGTTAAGAAAGAAATGACTCTTCTTAGAAACTGTTTTCCGCCCAGGACATTGCATACGTACTTTGTCATTTTGGTTGTGGATCATAAATAGTTAAGTCAAAAGCCCAGTTGGCTTTGCTACAAATGAAGGTTAACACCTTCACAGAGGAACTGATGAAGCCTATGACAGTGCATCAGCCTCTCCATTTAAGTAAGTTCAGTGGCACTGATAGATGAGCTTCTCTTCCCAAGTATGTTGGGGTCATTTATAATGGGTGAGTTAACTGGGTTAACAGCCAAGACGCTAATCAGAATGTATGGTAGCCTGCCAGGGGAGTGGCTGATAATTTCTGTTTGTCGATCTAAAACCTCTGGAGGTGAACACCCTGGCAGACTGAAAAGGACACTGAAAAATTAGCTGGAGCATGAAGCTGTGCCGGGTCTACCCCATAGAGGACAGCAAGGGGACTGTTTAAACATGCTGCTGATCATGATTTATGGACTTTGCCAAATGTATGCACCTCACAGGATTTTCTTTTTTTTCCTCATAGTGAACACATTCCCATACATCTGCCCTTTATCGTCTTAGTATATCCTTTTTAAGTGGTTGGTCATTTTAAAATAATGACAGTGATTGCATACATTATGTGTAGCAACGAAAAACAAAGCAACTGTGGGCCTATGGCTGGATATTTCCTCCACTGAGGTGGGATTCCTGTTCCCTGTCCCCTGCCTTGCTACCTGTATATTGAATAGGATTCCAAAGGCTTGGACTTCCTGTACACTTAGTATGCAGCTGGCCTCTCCCCAGTGATGCCCACCTGCTGAAGTCAGTGACATTCCACACATTTGTTTCAGCAGGAGGACTGCCACACGCTGCTCCCACAATCTGGATAGAAAATTCTCCCTTTTTAAAAAAATCACCAGTACCATCTTCCCACTACTAACAAAACTGTGGCATTTCTGGAGAAAAACCAGGAATCAGAATTGAGAGGGGAGAATGTCAGTTCCTTTATTACCAGGCTTAGAAAATGTGAGCACAGGCATGGAACCACACCTGATCTCAATGCTTTGCTTTTCAAAGGAAGTACAAACAGCTGACTTTCACCTCACTGACTTGGTGAATAACATGCTGTTTTATTCATGGGTCCTTGAAATTATTTAAATAAAACCCTACAAAAATTAATTTGAGTTGTTTTACTTTTTAGACAAAAAAAATCCACAAGGCTTAATATACAGCAATTTTTCCTTCCCTTTCCTTTTAAATGAATTGGAAATACAATGCTGCATTTTAGATTTTGCAGAGGAGCCCTTTATAATTTTAAATGTCATTGAAGTCATTTAACTCATTGGTACTTATGAACTACCAGCCTTGATCCCAGCCAAGGTAATATATTGAAGTTCTCTTTGAGTACATATATTTGACATTTTATGGTATCAGTAGTTCTTTATTAATCATTGTTTCTTACTTTGACTTCTGTGTGTTCAACTTGGGCCCATATGTGTTAGAATGATGGCACTGGAAGTGATCTAACTGATTTTCTGGTTAAATTCTATTGCTATATAAGTGAGGACACTGGAACTAAGAAAGGGTTAGGACTTGTGAAGATCACTCATCTGGCCTCTAAAAAGCCACAATTTTATCTCTGGTCTCCTGATTCCTAATTCAATATTTTTCCCACAGAGAACCTTCTCAGATCTTTATTTTACTTTATATTTTGAAGGTGATTTCAATTTTGGTGCTATCACGAAGCAGGAAACCCTCCATGTTACAGTTTAAAGTAACTCAACCCAAGGAAGTGCACATGTTAAACCAAGTTCAGTGGCAAAATTTCTTAAAATTCCACTTCAACAATTTGTACTGGGTTATCATCATACTGAGTTCCTTATGGTCTTCTGACCTATTAATATCTTATTGGCTAGGATTCAAATAACACCAGGATTTGCTTTCTACAGACTCTCTTACACAGCCAACATTGGTTAAATGAGATTCTAGCTTATCCTTAAAATATATGCATCAGTTATGTGGGTAAGAAAAATGCAGAAATACAGAATGCATGGCATAGGTGAAAGAGCACCGGATAAGAAGCTAAGAACTTGGAACCTAGATACCTTCACTTATCTTATTAACATGGGGTATTTACTTACTTGAGTCCCAGGAAAAGCCACAGAAGCCAGATCCAGCACAAGAGTAGAATAATAATAGCAGCTGGGAAGGAAAGTATAAACCATGATCCAAAGTTGAGGCAATCACAATCAGGGTAGCGTCTGTGTAAAAAGACGGAAAAGTGTTCAGGGAAGGAGGGGCAGGTGGAATCCTTTCTGATGGTCATTGGGAAGCAGCAGTCTACATCTTCCCTGTGCTGTTGGCCAAGAAGGAAGTCCTGAAACCTACTCACCATTAAGCATAGTAGTTACTTTACCCCTTGTCTCCTGTCTTGATTCTGTAACTGCTTAATTATTGCTGCATCCCACAAAAGCAAGAGTGGGTATGTTTGGACTTTTGTTCCCTTTATTCAATCTCTAAGGAATCACTTGTGAAAAAACCTAGCACAGTACCTGATACTCCTTAAACACACAAGAAATGGATTGTGTTTTGTTGTTACTACTCAAATTGTTAGTTGAGGAGTAAGGAAAGACAAATATACAGACTTGGCAACAGGTGAAATTTAATTTAATGGAAATGAATGTCTGTTACCATTTCACATTGCTGGCTGGCAAATATGAATGGACTCTGATCCAGCCCATATTATCTCTCACAGCTGTTTTCTCCTGTTTCTTCTGCCCCAAAGCACTATTTACTAGTTCTGTGGATAACGTTAACTTTTATTTCTCCTAGTTATTTTCAACATTTTAACTCACATAATAGCAAAACAACAGCAACAAAATAGGTCAGATACAAGCACAGTTTCTTTGGTAACCTCACATTTATTGCTTTAAAAATGTGGCTACCAAATAAATATATTTACATAGTCATCCATTTTATAACTGTGAAAAAATAACAGGAAATTTGAGAAATAGTTCTCTTTATTTTTTTTTTCCCTTGAAGCCGTAACACAGAGATAGAGTTGTTTCTAGGAACTACAGAGAATATATAGAAGTAATGAAAACATCATTAAAGTATTTTATATATTTTTAAAAATTTTCAAAATATCTTAATATTAAAATATTTTTAAATATTTAAAATACTTTAATGATGTTTTTATTACTTCTACAAAATATTTTAAAATCATATTTGTATTTTAATATTTTTAAATCATAAAATACTATAGAAAACTTTATAGAAAAATAGATTTTCAATTCCTGTTCTATTTAAATCACACTTTGCATTTCATCATTTAAAAAATATCATGTAAATAAATGAAATGTTTCATGCTACATGTATGTAGCAAATTTATGTACTTTAGAGCAGTCCTTCTACCTTAAGATGGTTCCTAAATGATGCAAAGACTTAAATAATAATAGGTTCATAAAAATCTAGATTTCTAATGTTTTCTACAATTTTCTTTGTGCTTATAAAAAGTTACTGATCTTCCTGGGTTGTAGAGTTATCATTAGCAACTTAAGGATAATTTTTATCTACCTGAAAGAGATCCAAGGATTAGCTTATGCAATTAGAAAGTGGCAAATGATAATCAGCGATATTAGAGAATACATATAATTACATAAATAAATAAATGCTTTATTACGTCCATGAGACTCTATTGAAAATTGCTCATTTTTGGAAAATGTTTGTCTCCAGTCAGAAAATATAGTAAGGGGGGAAAGGTTAAGCAGATTTTCCATCAGTTTATTAGACTTGGATTATAAGATGACCTATGTTATTCTGTTCAGCCTAAAGACGCTTAGAAAGGCTACTTGGATTAGGGTCAGAACGTTGCCCCAAGCCTAACTTCATTTTTCACCATCTGTGACTCAGACCTTGAAACTGGACTGCATTCGTTCTACCTACCCCATGGAGAGAATCCTGTAAAATTTGTTTGACCGAAGAGGGTTTTTCCGCCAGAATTTTTACCTGGAAGTATAGTTCCTTTAGAAAAATGAAAGCCGGCCGGCCCGGTGGCGCACTGGATAGTGCGCCGCTTGGGAAGCACGGTGGCGCTCCCGCCCGAGGGTTCGGATCCCACATAC